GAGTTTCCCTCTTATTCCCATTGATATTAATTTTGAGAATACACTGTGATGACATATTTGATAAAATAATGACTTGATATCCAATGGCAGTCATTCCCACCTCCCATCTTTAGACCAACTCCTTTTTCTGTATCTGGATTGAAGCTATAATGAATCAGGAGCTGAGAGGCCCTGGCAGAACCCAAACTGAGTGTTGGTGAACAGTTTATTACTGTGGAGAAGCCATTTGATAGCACTGTCAGTGATGCCTTCTATTATTTCACCAATGTAAACTGGGTAATAATTGGCTGGATTGGATTTGTTCATTTTGTGTACAGGACCTAGCTGGATGATTTTTCTGCATGTTTGGAAAATGCCAAGGTTGTAGCTGTACTGGAACAGCTTGGGTAGGGGTGCAACTAGTTCCAGAAAATAAGTCCTCCATATTATCACGGGAATGTTGTCAGGACTCAAACTTTATATTATCCAGTATTTTCAGCTGTTCCTTGATTTTTACCTTCTCTTGAGATAAGCTTTCTGAGCCCCTGCAGTCTTTAATTTGAAGGGGAACTTGCAGGTTGCTGTGTTCCAAAACATCTGCTGCCCTAGTTCTTTCAGTTGGCAGAGGTTGAATTTGGAAGATGTTGTCAAAGGAACCTTGATCAGTTTCTGCAGTGCATCCTGCATCAGTTGTGAAGGCAGTGAACATCCAAGGTGATGGATGTGGTGCCAGTTAAACTGGCTGTTTTGTCCTGGATGGTGTCAAGCTTTGTGAGTGTTGTTGGAGCTGCACTCATTCAGGCCAGTGGGGTGTATTCCAGCACATTCCTGACTTGTAGGTGATGGAGATGTTAAAAGCAGTCAGGAGATGAGCTGTTTTCTGAAGAATACAGAACCTTCAATATGCTCTGATAACTATGACACTGACGGTCTGAGGCACCAAGATATCTCTGGTGATTCAGTGATGTTGAAACTATTGAATGTTGGAGGAAAGCAGTTATGCTGTTACCCGTTAATAGTTGTTACTCCCTGATACTTGTGTGCTGTACATGTTATTTACCACTTATTAGCTCAAGCCTGGATGTAGTCTAAATCTTGTTAATGCAGGTATGAACTCTTTCATTATCTGAAGAATAGCAAATGGTGCTGAACATCACTCCCTTCCAACCTTATGATGGAGGGAAAGTCATTTGAAGCAGCTAAAGATAGTCAGGCCTGGGACACAATCCTGAGGAAGGGGCTCTTGTGGTGGAGTGATAATGTATGTACCTCTTGACCAGGAGACTCAGGCTTAACTCCGATCTGCTCCAGAGATGTGTAATGACATCTCTGAACAGTCCTGGATCTGTGGTGACTGACCTCCAGTTTTCAAGACCATTAGCCCTGTGAGTCAATCATTGGAGTTTCCATTCAGTCTTGAATTCTCCTGGATTTTGTTTTGGCCAAATCAAGTACTACCTTAATGTTGAGGGCTTTCACTTTCTCCTCATCTCCTCCTGGGATTCTGGTCCTGTCTGCATCTGGAGCTGGTAGTTCTGGTTGAGCCCAAACTGAGTATTAGTGAGCGGGTTACTAGTGAGTAAGAATGTGTTGAAGGAAAAACTATGACTTCAAATAAATTTTCAGAGATCTTGCAAAGTGCTTTCCGTATCCAGCAAGCTGTTTTAAAGACAAAACCAACACAAAATAGTGGGGGTGAATTTCCATTGCCCTGCACTAACACAATGGAGAATGATAGGTGTGATTTACTCTAGGAGGAGTGAGAAGTTCACTGGTCATTCTCTGAAAAGATTCCCAATATGGCCATGGCTCTGCTGCAATGTGGGCCTGAAATTCCAGGCTTGAGAGGAGGGCAGAACCTTACCCTGAATACTGGAGGAATTCTCTGTTCTTTTTTTCCAGTGGATTACCTATTCCATAAGACATAGGAGCAGAAATTAGGCCATTTGGCCCATCGAGTCTGCTCCGCCATTCAATCATGGCTGTTCAAATCCCATACTGGGACCTGGACTGACTGACAGGAGATTGCTCACAATCCAAGTGAAAATGGTGTGTTCAGCTTTTGTGAAGCAGTCACCGCTACGGAGGTGCGCCATTGCTACTCAACACGACTGGGAAAGAATGGGACGGGAACATCGTTGAAAATCTGAACCGGGAAGCTTGGAAACCTCTTTTCCACACAATGTGATGAACAACTGTGTAAATGGTAGAGAAATGAGTAAAACCATCAGAATTGAGATTGATGGGTATTTGTTCAGTAGAGTCACTAGAGGTAAGACCAGCTAAATGGGAACTGATGATGGAACAAACTTGAGGGGCTGAATGTCCTCCTATTCTATGTAAGAGCAAATGTGTCATTGGTTAAGAGGTGCATTTAACACTCGGATGGCTGTACAATTTAAATATAATTTTAAATAATTAAATGTTTTCTACACTAAGCTCTTGCAACGTACGAAGAATATGTCCCTGCAACCGGCCAGTTTCTGTTTTATAAAATGGCATAGAATCCAGCCGATAGTGCATACCAGATAACTTCCTGCAACATTCTGGTTAGAAAGTATTTTCTTTCGGAGAGAAAGCGATTCACGATTGAGCTTTGGAATGGGCGAGGCTATTTGTCTTTATATTCCATAATAGTGATATCTTGGATGAATCATGCTGTCAATAATTCGAAGTTACTTTTTTTTTAAAAAAACATTTGAAAGTGCTTAAGATCTTTGAATTACTCATGACTCTAAGCAATACATAGTATATATCAAAGTCAGAATTCAGTGCTAATGTGATTCCTATATTTTTTAAAAGAGGAGATAAAACAAGTTGAGAAAACTAGGCTAATAAATTTAACATCGGTGATGGGAAAGAGCATGCAGTTCTTGCTAAAAGATGGAATAGACAAAAGTCCAGGAACTGAAGGTGTCATGAAGAACATTTGGCATGTATTTCAAAAGGTTACAATTAAGAAACCCTGTTAAATCATTCTGAGAAGTCAAAGTGTGAAGTCAGTGGATAGTATAAATAGAGGTTCAAAGTACCAACTCAAATTTGCAAATGGTAGGAAATGTATCACTATTGACATGATGATTTGAACTTGGGAATTGGAAATACAATTTCAACATTTGTGAGTGTCCCTAGGTTGTGGACGTGCAAGTAACATAAAGAATGTCCCTGATAGAACACAAACAAGACATCAATAAACTTGCATAGTGAGCGCACAATCAATGTGTGGCATTACATTCTGAGAGGAAGAATTAAGGAGGCCGCATACATCTTGGAAAATCAATGTACGTGGAGGAGGGAAACCTGAAGCCATAGATTCAAAAATAGTTAATAGTAATGGGTTAATAGGTCCATTTAGAAAGAAATTAGGCACTGGGATGCTGGAAATCTGACACAGCAAAAACAGAAGTTACTGGAGAAACCCAACTGATCTGGCAGCATCTGTAGAAAGAAAACAGAATTAATGTTTTGAGTTCAGTGACCCTTCTTCAGTTCTGAGGCAGGAACCCTTCTTACGTTTAAAAAGTATTTAGATGTACCCCAAGGTATACAAGGTGACAGGCCAAGTGCTGGAAAAAAAGATTAGAATAATTAGGCTGTTGTTTTTTGACCAGTATGAAGTTGATGCAGAAAAGGGTCTTTTTCTGTGCTGTAGACCCCTATGACTGAGTCAGGTATAGAATTGGAAAAACACAGGCAGGCACTGGAGAATGTGTGGAAAGGTTTACTAAATTGAGACCAGAGCTGAGAGATTATAACCAGGCCAAACAAGCTGGACCTTTATGCTTCAGAAAAGAGAGAACCTGTTCAAGGTCGATGGTTGTTAAGGTTTGTGATGATGCTGTTACTTTAAAAATGTTATGTTGAACTGGGTTTTTTTTTCTTGAAGAGAGGTTGTAAAGGCAGAGGTACAGAAATGGCTACAAGAGACTGCCTAAGTCAACCATCAGAGGAGGCCTTTAGATATATTTTTTTAAACCAGTTGTACAATAGAAGGGGAGTGGCCAGTTCTTCCAGTTCAGGCTTTCTAGTTTTATTTTCAGCTGGAGCAGTCACGAGATGTTTCAGTCCAGACGGGTTGCCAGCTTCAGTAAATGATTCCTGACAGATTTTCTCTGAAATCTCTCACTGGATGTTGTTCCCTCCTGCCTGCAAGAATCTGTGTTTGAATTTACCTTCTTGCCAAGAGGTATGTTTATGGGATGTTACGATATTGAAGCAGTTAATTAGTTAAGTTACTGTATCAAGTATTTAGTTAAGTTTTCCAATAATTAAGTTATTCTAAATTCTGCTTTCTTGTTTGTATTTTAACCATAGTGTTTAAATTGCATTGTGCTTAACGCTGAGTGGTTTGATCAATTGCATCACCTCTGGAACAGTGACTTCTCTGGGTCTAGGCTATTTTGAAGGTGCCTGGCCTGGTCCATAACAGGTTGACTTAGAAGGTGATACTGTTTGTAGGTGCAGACCTGAACCAGGGGTCATCTGTATGAGAAACTTCTAATCCAATAGAAATTCAAAGCAAACTATTTACTGGAGTGCTAAAATGTGAAACCTGTTACCATGGGGAATAGTTGACACTATTAAATATGGATTTAAGGGGAAGATAGGTGAACGTGAGAGCAAAAGGAACAGGATATGTTGATGGCGTTGGATGAAGAAAGATGAGAGAGATCTGTGTGAGCAGCATAAATGTTGGCTTGAACCAGTTGGACCGAATGTCCAGTTTTATTTTACTGGAAATACTCCCTGTAAGTTCATAGACTCTGAATTACAATTGGACTGTAGATGAGTTTCCTGTTGTACAAGTTGATGAAATGCCGTCATTTATATGTTCAGGACTAATGGACTCTTTGTCTAGTTTATTCATTTGCTGCTGACATGAACTTTTCTGTGTTTCTCAAACTTTATCATCTCTAATTTAAGTCGGCAAAACTCATTAATTGTGGAGAAAGCCAACATTTGAATATTTTGTATCCCTGCGTAACTTCAGGGTTTTTTTAAAGAATGTTTTTGTTATATAGGAGCCTGATGCTGACAGATTGTGAATGCCCTTCCTGACTTGCATAGTTCTCTGAACCACCTATCAATGAGGATATCTGGAATGGCTTCCTTTAAGCAGCAGAGAGTGGAGGACTTTTATGAAATTGGAGAAGAACTGGGAAGGTAGGAATGTCATAACTTGACATTGCAGACTTTGTTCAATGTAGCTACATGTTGATGCATGAAATATGGAATTTGTTTCTGAAGTTGAGTTTGTACAACCTCCAGTGCATAAACTACAGTGAAAGCTTTGACTAGCTCAGTAATTTTTAAATCCATGCTTTTATACCCTTTCCCATTTTTAACATTTTTTTTGTTTTTGAGGCTGTCTCTCTGTTTGGGAGAGTTCAAAGATTTCCCACCTTGTTGTTCCTGAGTGCCTGCCAGCTCTGCTCTGCAGCCAGTCATTACAAAGTAATGTGTGCAACTGATGTGCTGTCTCTTGTTGTATCTAGTTAGTGATTGAATTAAAATTCATTGTTACTATACAGTTGTTGAATTTCTAGATTCTGTAGTATCTTCAATTAGAAAGCATTTAGGAAAAATCAAAACTTTATAGTTGCTCCAAATGTTTTTGTTTAAATGTCAGAAATTATTGCTAATTTCTAATAACACTTGAAGTTAATAGTCCTTCAGATCAGACTGTGGAGTTACTCCCCTCCTGAAGCATGCAGTCTCTTGAATAAAGAGCTCATTTTGCAGTGTCAGGGTTGAGCTGTTGATGTAAATTGAGATCACCAACATAGTGATGAATCTGGCAAGATTGGCGCATCTCTCGTCACCTTAAACACTCAACAACTGTTCATTTTGGTGCTAATCTACTTTCCTCTCATATGTGATTTCACGTTATTGTGTGTCCTTGGTAGTTTCAGCTGTGTACTCGATTTTCTGTCTCGCATTTCTGTCGAGTCTGCGGGGTGTTCCAATCAAATTGTATTGACTAAAGTCTCTCCGGTCTGTTGATTTTCGCACCCCACCCAACCCCACTCCCCCCACGCCCCAGCATCACTGTATTATTCCTCTGGCATGTTTCATAACATTTCATAATGTTAACAAACTTGTAAGGGAGAGATGTTTATTTTCAAATCTACTGCTAATAGAATGTGATATTAGTGTATAGTATAATTAGTGACCTGGCATGGGGGTCACTTGCAAATAAGGAAGGACACTACGACCAGTTTTAATTTTGTCCATTTGGAAGCACTAGCTGATGCCTCCTATTGTACTATTCATCTGTCTATCAATATTTTGCGGTCCTTGAAAACTTCCCCTCCGCAGTGGTCGAAAACACCCTCAACCGTGTCTCTTGCATTTCCCGCAACTCATCCCCCCTTCCCGCAATAACAACCAAAACTGAATCCCCCTTGTCCTTACGTACCACCCCACCAACCTCCGGATCCAATGCATCATCCTCCGACACTTCCGCCATCCGCAATCTGACCCCACCACCAAAGACATTTTTCCCTCCCCACCCTTATCTGCTTTCCGGAGGGACCACTCTCTCCTTGTCCGCTCCACACTCCCCTCCAGCCCCACCACACCTGGCACTTTTCCCTGCAACCGCAGGAAGTGCTACACCTGCCCCTACACCTCCCCCCTCACCCCCATCCCAAGCCCTAAGAAGACTTCCACATCAAACAGATGTTCACCTGCACATCTGCTAATGTGGTATACTGTATCTGTTGTGACCTCCTCTACATCGGGCAAACCAAGCGGAGGCTTGGAGACTGCTATGTGGAACACCTACGCTCGGTTCGCAACAAACAACTGCACCTCCCAGTCGTGAACCATTTCAACACCCCCTCCTCCTCCCACTCCTTGGACCACATGTCCACCCTGGGTCTCCTGCAATGCCACAATGATGCCACCCGAAGGTTGCAGGAACAGCACCTCATATTTCGCTTGGGAATCCTGCATCCCAATGGTATCAATGTGAACTTCACAAGCTTCAAAATATCCCCTCCCACCGACCGCATCCCAAAACCAGCCCAGCTCGTACCCGCCTACCTAACCTGTCCTCCCACCTCAAGCCCCACCCCCATCTCCTACCTACTAGCCTCATCCCGCCCCCCTGATCTGTCCGTCCTCCCTGGACTGACCTATGCCCTCCCTAACTCCCCACCTCCACTCACCTTTACTAGCTCCAACCCCGCCTCCTTGACCTGTCTGTCTCCTCTCCACCTATCTTCTCCTTTTATCCATCTTTGATCTGCCTCCCCCCCTCCCTATTTATTTCAGAACCCCCTTCCCCTCCCCCATTTCTGAAGAAGGGTCTAGACCCTTCAGCTTTCCTGCTCCTCTGATGCTGCTTGGCCTGCTGTGTTCATCCAGTTCTACACCTTGTTATCTGAGTCTGGGGATCCTGCAGTGAATCCTGACCCCTCAGTCTTTCCACCATCAAACAAGGCACAAATCGGAAGTGTGATGGATCACTTTTTTTTTCTATTTACCTGGATGAATGCAACTCCAACAACGCTCAAGATGCTTCTCACCATCCAGGCCAAAACACCTCATCCACACATGTTCTCTCCCTCCAATACTGATGCTCAGTTGCTACAGTATGTACAATCTACAAGTTGCAGTGCAGAAATTTACCAAAGGTCCTTAGACAGCTCCTCCCAAATCCAAAATCACTACCATCCAGACAGACAAGGGCAACTGATACATAGGAACACCTGCTCACCATCCCAGCCTGGAAAACTATCACTGTGTTCCTTCATTGTCGCTGGGTACAAATCCTGGAACTCCTCCCCTATTGTGCGTCAACCCACAGCACATAGACTGCAGCAGTTCAAGAAGGCACCTTGCCACCACCTTCTCAAGGCATCTAGAGATGGACGATAGATGCTGGCCAGCCAGTGATGCCATGTCCCAGGAGTGAATTTAAAACAAAGTATAAAACCAAAGTTTAAGGATCATGTTAAAACTGGCAAATTGAATATATTAATTTAAATTTAACATCAGATATTGGTCTGACACACTGTGCTGCCCTATTGACGAAATTCTGATTTGTTACTTGTGCCGTTAAGAACCTGGGGAGAGGATGCAAGAAAGATAAACATGCAGACAAGGGTTTAATTTTCCCTTGACAACAAGGTGCAGGGCTGGATGAACACAGCAGGCCAAGCAGCATCATAGGAGCAGAGAGGCTGACGTTTCGGGCCTAGACCCCTCACGTATCACCCCACCAACCTCCGGATCCAACACATCATCCTCCGACACTTCCGCCATCTGCAATCCGACCCCACCACCAAAGACATCTTTCCCTCCCCACCCTTATCTGCTTTCCGGAGGGACAACTCTCTCCATGACTCCCTTGTCCGCTCCACACTCCCCTCCAGCTCCACCACACCCGGCACTTTTCCCTGCAACAGCAGGAAGTGCTACACCTGCCCCCATACCTCCTCCCTCACCCCCGTCCCAGGCCCCAAGAAGACTTTCCACATCAAGCAGATG